TCTTGAGTTCAACCCATCTCTTTGGTCCTCAGGAATATCCTTCGCAACATTAAGTGGCGAAATGGCTATCGCCCAAAATGTGACCGGTCACTTTTTTAGTGGAAGTGACCGGTCAATTTTTGACCCGTCCCAATCGAAGAGTTAACATCATTTGGTGACTTGATAAAAGTGACCGGTCATGTTTTGACCTGTCCCTTTCGGTTATCCGGGTCGGGTATAAGGATATACCTATCAAGAAGTCCTCCACTTACCGGCCTTGTGAGGAAATCATCAAGGGCGGAAAGTATACTTATGTTAACCCATCACCTTTGAATTCAACAAGTCTTCTCTCATGACCTGTCCTTTTGAATCACCAGGTCTCTCTCATGACCTGTCCTTTTGAATCACCAAGTTCCTCACATGACCTGTCTTTTTGGAATTATCAAGTCAATCCCATGACCTGTCCTTCTTTGACATCATCAAGTCATTCCCATGACCTGTCCTTTTTTGAAATCGTCAAGCCATTCCCATGACCTGTCCTTATTTGAAATCGTCAGGCCATTCCCATGACCTGTCCTTTCTTGAAATCGTCAAGCCATTCCCTTTCAAGACCTGTCTTTCTTTGAATGATCAAGCCTTTCATTTTCAAGACATGTCCTTCTTTGAATGATCAAGCCTTTCCTTTTCAAGACCTGTCTTTCTTTGAATGATCAAGCCTTTCATTTTCAAGGCCTGTCCTTCTTTGAAATCACCAAGTCATTCCCATTGACCTTTCATTTTTTGGATCCGTCGCTGACCTGCCATCAATGACCTGTCCTTTTAGATCTGACCAGTCCCCTCTGACCTATCATTTTTCGAATTATAAGCCTTCCCATTTAGACCCGTCCATTTGCATCTGTGGAAACCCAGATGTTGGGGCCGACCTTTCATTTTTGCAGTTTCCCCCCAAAAACATTTCACCTTCCATATTTGAAATTTGAATTTCAAACTTCATCATTACTCTTCCACGTGTCACGTCCTCGGCCTCCCACCTGTCGCCTCGAGTTCCAACCCGCCCCTCTCTCTCCTATAAATACTCCTCCAACCCATCTCATTTCTTCACTTCTTCTCTCCGCTCTCCCAACTTCCACCGGTCAGCTTTCTCTCTTTATCTCTTCGCCAAGTAAGTCCTCCAGTCCTCCTAGTCATAATTTTTCCATCTTTCCATTTTTGACCGGTAGGCTGAAGTCATGTCTTCTGATAGCCAAAACATATCTGGCCAATCCTATGGATCAGGCTCTCAGCCCTCTTCCTCTTCCCCCTCTGAATCTTCTTCTCCCCCTGTCACTCCCATGATTCGCCGTCCCTCTCACCAGTCTAGCTCTCAGGCCCGGGAAATAGTTGCCCAGGAGCCTGTCCCTCTGAACCAAATGCCCGGTCGCTTCAATCCCAAGGTCCTCAGTTGGGACCAGTGGGAAGAGCGATTGGGATCGCTGGGCTACCTTGCCCTTGACTCCGGACCGGTCTTCAAGGAGTCCTCTAGGGTAACCAAAAAGGTCCTGGCTGAAGTCCGTTCCGTCCTCCCACCAGGCTATAAACTCTTCTCTAACACCACCTGGCCCAACATCGTAGAACCCCACCAGGGAAACCGGTTGGGTTTTCACATTGCTTCGCTAGAGGGGGGCATTATCTTTCCCCTTCGCCCCCTCCTTGTAGAAATCTGTAATAAGTTCAATCTTTTGCCCGGCCAGCTTACTCCAAATGCCTCTTTCCAAGCCTCCTTCTTCTCCTCATATCCCTGAAATGGATGAGGCCACAAGTGCCCGGTGTAGCCCTATCCCTGAACAGAGCCAGAAGCTGAAATCTCCTCCAGCCACCCATCTCTTTGAAAATGACCGGGTCCCTTCTCCTAAGAAGGATGTCAAGGCCAAAGGAAAGGAGATCGGTCATTCTTCCACTCACAAAAGGAAGGGTTCCCACAAGACTTCCAAGGGAGAAAAGAAGAAGAAGGTCAGGCTATCAGATTTGGAGGGGGAGTCCATCGAAGTAACTTTCCTATCCCTGGCCAAAAAACTTAGCAAGGTACCAACTCTGATTTTCCTCCCGGTTTAGTTACTTCCTTTGCCTTTACTGACAAGTTTGTTTTCCAGGTTGGAGTTCTATCCGAAGAAGTTGGCCGGTCACTCCTGGAATCCAAGGACCAGGTCTCCGAATCACCCTCCTTCTTGATTCTGCCAAGTTGGAGATCAATGACCGGGTCGAAAGGGAGAAGAAGCTGGAGGAAGAGCTAATGGCTGAAAGGGCCAGGTTAGAGGAGGAGAGGACCAAGTTTGCCCTTCTGGAGGAGGAAAGGAATAGAAAGGTGGCCGAGCTTGAGGATGCGTTGGGCCAGGCTGAAGAATCTGCCCGGGCAAAGGAGGAGGCCTTTCCCACCT